CACGGCCGTGTGGCTCACCCAGTTGCCCGTGCGAGTCAAAACGCAGCGTATCAATTAGTTGACTTCCAGGCTTCTTGCACGGCCAGGGTCGCACGGCCGTGTGAAATTTCCATCCAGCCCGTGTTTGCTCTCGCAGAATTCCACACGGCCAAAATGCATCCTCACACGGCCGTGTGGATTTTCTGCTCTGCCCGTGTTTGCTCTCGCACAATCCCACACGGCCAAACTGGTTACTTGCACGGCCGTGTGGGTTGTGGGTGTGCCCGTGCGACTTCCTTTGTGACTCGCCTCGCGCCCAATCTTCGCCCAATCGACCCCGAACTCGCTCCTAAACCTTCATTCACTTGCCAGGACCTGAAATATCACAAACAAGCACAACCTAGCGTGAAATCGGTCTAAAAAACGAGAAACCACATCTCCAACGGTGTAAGAACAGGGGTGAAAACATGTGTAATTAACGGTCTATCACTTAGCGGATCTACTGAAACCTCTTATGCTGAGCTTGGTTCACGAAACACAGACCGGTTTTGTTCCAGGTCGACAGATCACAAATAACATATGCATTCTTCAGGAGGTGGTCCACTCAATGCGGGCTAAGAAGGGAAGGGTGGGTTGGATGGTTTTGAAGATAGACTTAGCCAAGGCTTATGACCACATTCTATGGGGGTTTGTTCGGGACACATTAGAGGTAATGGGTGCGCCAGCCAATTTCATGGAGGCTACCATGGCCTGCTGATGACTCGATATTTGCACATGTTTTCCCCTTTGTTTCTTGATCGTTTGAGCTTTAATTATCGCGTCTTTCGCCTATTTTACGCTAGGTTGTGTTCCTTTGTCACATTTCAGGTCCTAGCACATAAAGTGAAGCATAGGCGGAAGTTTCAAGTCAATCAGAGATCAATTGGCGATTAGCGAGAAGAAACACGGGCATGACCTGAAGAAGAATGGATTTACACCTCACTTTATGGACAAAGAATCATTCAAGCTTTTCATGAAAATAAAGAGGATGAGACTACGAGCGTCTGGGATCAAACGGCGACTAATTCGGAGTCCGGACGAGGGAGAAACGAAGCATTGAATATAGGGGAACAGGTTCGGTAGTAAAAACACGGGCGCGCCTAAATCAAAACACGGTCGTGCCCATATTTAGAGAGACAGAGCGATTCCAAGAGAAGGGGATTCGAGTTTTAGAGAGACAGAGTGATTCCTAGAGAGAGAAAGCGACGAGCAAGAGTTCACAAGTGCCCTAGCTTGATCTCCATCACCATTGGAGCTTGGCTTGAGCTTGGAGAAGTGCCGATCAACGTCCAGGAGCAGAAATCCATTCTTCACAGTATGATTTCCGCGTCTGATTCTGCTTTTGCTTCTTTCTCCATTGAGTAGTTCTCCCATTCATCTGGGTATGGACAACCCTAGATTTGTGTGTTAGGTTTGATTGTATGAACCCAAGTACTGATTCTATGATTTGATTATATTCAATTGAGGTTTGAATGATTGAATGGCATGAATCCTGATCAAATTCCTGTTGTTTCTGCTTTAACCTAGAATGAGAATATCTGCCTAGGTTGATAGAGCATCCTTGATTGAAGGTAGGGAGTTGGTGAATTTAGTCGAGGAGCCAACTCACTATTCTGTACTGAATTCACTTCGGTAGTGGAGGTTTTGTTCGTTAGGGCCTCAATCTGTTTACTCCGGTGGAGGTTAGTCGCCCGCTAGAGACTCAGATTGAGAGGGTCTGGAGACCTTTAGTCGAGACTTCAGACTGCTTAAGAACCTTCCGCAATATAACTATCATAGAAACAGAACTTGGTAATTGCAATCCGGCTTAACTGCAGTCTAGGGGGAACCATATCCGGGTGACCTCTCTTAACCTGAAAACAACCGTTTAGTTGCTTTGCTTGTTTGTTAGTTTAGACTTGCATTAAAGTTTCATTGCTAGATAACAAGAATTCACCAAGTAGTCATCAAATCTAGGATCCGGGTTGACATTAAAACCCAAACCCGCTATACTACGCTTTAGGAAGTGGTTACACTTGGCCAATTCCTAGAGTGACAGTAGAAGTGAGTCACCTGCATTACTACTGCATCCATGCAAATTCAGGGTTGTCCGCTATCTCCTTATATATCCACTCTTTGTATGGAAATTTTAAGTCATCTAATTAGTAATTCAGTGAGATCGGAGTAGTGGCAGTCCATAAAGCTGACCAACAGAGGACTAGCTCTTTCTCACTTATTTTTTGCAGATGACCTTATACTGTTTGAAGTGGCATCAAACAGATAGGTTCAAACTGTTATGCAGTGTTTCGAGCTATTTGGAGAGGCATCAGGGCAAAGCATAAGCAAGCCAAAATCTCGGGTCTTCTTCTCCCCAAATGTCTGAAAACAGTAGAGAGCCTCCCTAAGTGACGATCTGGGTATCCCTCAAACATCGAATATGGGATACTATCTGGGGGTTCCGGTGATTCACGACAGGTTGCCAAGGTGACTTAGAATGAGCTGGTCAACAAAATTGATGCAAGAATGGCGGGATGAAAGACGTCCACTATGAGTCTCACAACTAGAATTACCCTGGCGCAGTCAGTCCTCTCTTCTCTCCCCTCGTACACGATGCAAATGTCTTTCTTACCGGCAAGTGTTCGTGATTTGATCGATAAGAAGATCAAAGATTTTGTATGGGGGAGTATGAAGGGAGGACGCAAGGTCCACTTGGTGGACTGGGAGACGGTCTGACTAAACCGAATGATCTTTGGGCACAGGTGGTGTTAAATAAATACACGAAGAAGTTGGAGATGGGGCTTGCTCCTAGAAGAACTGGGCGGATATCAAACTTGTGGTGGGGGGTGCTGGTACAAGCTCCAGGAGGCCTCGACTTGGAACATTGTGAATGGAAAGGAGGCTCGATTTTGAAGGGATAGATGGTGGACAGATGGCGAACCTCTCGAGACGTATGCCCCGACAGTGCCTGCGGAAGTCTTGGAGATGCGAGTGGTGGATTTCGTCCTTAACAATGAATGGAACCATGCGTACATTAATCATTTCTTACCAGCAGATATTGCTTCGCATGTCTTCCTCCACCCGGTACCTAGCGGCAATGACGAGGACATCCGATGTTGGAGATTCGCATCGGATGGAAAATTCAGCTTAAACTCGGCATACGAGCTTCTAGGAGAGGAGGACGATACTGCCCCGCAGAGACATCCAAAGTGGCGCTCCCTTTGGAGAGCCCCAAATCTCCATCGAACAAGAACCTTTCTGTGGTTGATGGCACATAAAAGATTACTCACAAATGCAGAAAGAGCGAGGCGACACCTTACCACGGTCCTTAGAGACTGCCCCTTTGCTAAAGCCACGTCGGCAGACGTTCTCAGCGACGAACCATATGCGGATTTCTTCTAGGATAACTTGGAACGCTGGATGACCCACTACTTAACAGAGCGGATCCAAGTTCTAGACTGCACCTTCTTCGTCAACATGTGTTGGTTACTGTGGAAGAACCGGAATAGTTACTGTTTCGAGAGAGATCTAAAGTCCTATGCACAAAGTTAGGGGAAAGCTACGCAACGACGACAACATATTTTTCAAGCCGCAGAGAAGAATAGTGCTATTTTTGGAGTCGGGGGACTCCGAACGCATAGAGAGATTGGTTGAACTCCACCACCTAGGGGCTGGACGTGCCTGAACACCGTTGGATCAGTGATACCTTCTCTGAGCATTACTGTTGTCGACGGCGTCTTACGGGGGGAGGATGGCCGCCTCATATCAGCTTTTATAGTGAACATTGGGAGAGGTTCTATCACAAGTGCAGAACTAGCCAGGATTGTGCATGGGCTTCGGATTTCCTGGGAAACAGGAACTAAGAAAGTTCTTCTTCAGACTGACTCGACGATGGCAGCTTCTCTCATTGAGTCGGCAACGCCAGAGCATCTCCATTACACCAGCATTGTGGAGATTCGACAGTGGGTACAGCGGGATTGGGAGGTCCACGTTACCCACGTCTACAGAGAGGCGAACATAGTCACCCTTTTCCTATTGGCAGAGACCTTGTTACTCTTCCCGATAGTAGATTATCTTACTGGTTGTATCATGATATTATTTGGATTCAGACCACCTGTTTGATTAGTGAATAAAGGTGGGAGCTCCCTTTAAGCGCTCCGTTTCTCACCCCCAAAAAAAAGACTGGCTTAGCTAGGTGTGGATGGGGGCAGAGGAAGTTGGGATGGGAGAGTGTTTAGGTGGAGTGGATTGAGTAGATGGGCAATATAAGGCGTAGCCAAAGATAAAGAAGACAACCAAAAATACATAGATTGAGAACATCAAGATCATATATGGTTGAACAAAGTATCAAAAGGAGTTGTATGATGAAGCAGAGGAGTGAGAGTGTGATTAATGAGATCTCAATCAATATCAAATGCAGGAGACCAATACTGAAGAGGAACGTGTGCATGATATAACGTGGCAAGACCATTGTTGACATTGACAATGTGACGATGTTTTCGTACAAAACAACCATTTTGCTCAGACGTATAGAGACACGTTAAACATTGAACAATACCATTATCCGTTAGACAAGTCATTTCAGACCAAAGCAAGTTATTAACACTAACACATTTCTCCAAACAAATCTACACAATACATAAAGGCAAAACATGGGTTGGAATTCTCCCATTTCAAATTTCGTGGCATGAGAGTGATTCTAGGACTATCATTTTTGTCATTGCACTCACCTCATGTTTATATATCAAAAATGTTATCATTGGAGTTCGAACCTTGTTCACTTGAATGAAGAAAGAGCATTATAACAACTAGGCTACATTTTATTCATTGTTATTTTTTTTATTGAACTCTAGCAATATGTTTGATTGATGATGCTTCTGTATTTATATTTTATCTTAAGTTATTTATATTTTATAGATGGGTTATAGGTATAATTTGCCCCTCTACTATGTATCTTTCTCAAACATGTCCCTATACTATAAATAACATCAAATCTACCCTTCCACTATACCATAATTATCAAATGTAAGCTTATGTTAACTTCCTAACCACAAAATCGTTATCACAAGAAAATGTGGAGGGAAATGACATTTTTACCCTTTTATATTTTTATTTCTTAACCTATCTTCATTGGCCTATCCCCAGACCCAAAGCCACCCTCCCCTTCAGGTCCGGATAGTATAACAACACTCTTTTTGTTGTTATAATAATAATAGGATTCATTAAGGGTAAAAGGGTAAATTAACAATAAAAATAATAAATAAAAATTAATCCTACGCATTTTCTTCGCACTAAAATCAAAATCTCCGCCACCGCCGTCGCACAATGGCCTTTCGCTCTGTCCTCCTCCGAGTGAGATCGCAGCTCCTCCGCTCCACGAAAATTACGTCCGCTACCGGCTCCTCTTCCTCCTGCACAAGCATCTTCTTCTCCTCCACTCGCCAGTTCGCCTCCGCCGCCAGATCGGAGCGGTTGATTCTCTCATCGATTTCAGATCTCCGCGCAGTTTACAACGATTCCGCCTCGATCTCAGGTCCCCGGCTCTTCTCGACGGCGCGGCGCCACCCGGAGCGGCCGAATACCGTGGACATCGGAGCCCGAGCTCGCCAGATGCAGACCAGGCGGCTGTGGACCTACGCGCTCACGTTCAGCTGCGTGGCCGGGTTCATCGTCATCGTCCTGAACAATTTCCAGGACCAGATGGTGTTCTAGGTGACTCCGACCGACGCGATGGAGCAGAACAAGGCGAATTCGAGGAAGACGAAGTTCAGATTGGGTGGATTGGTCCTTGAAGACTGCTCTCGCTCGGTGGGAGAATCGTGTTGTGTACAGCCGATCTACTTTGGCTAGTCAACCGATCTATTTTGGCTCTCTCTTTAGAGCGCCTGTGGTTGTGGGATCAATGAAAACGGCCAATAAATTTTGGTGGGTTGGGGTTTCCTAACTTTGAATTGCATACCATAGCTTTGAATTGCAAAAATCCACAAAAAGCGTACCAGAAATCTCCCAATCCATACCACAAATCCCCTAAAACAAACCAAAAACCCCACAAAGCAAACTACTAATATTCCGAAAGCACACCAGAAACCTCATAATACAAACCACAAACACGTTAAAGCAAACCACAAACCTCCTAATGCAGACCACAAATATATTAAAACAAACCAGAAACCCCACAAATCAAACCATAAAATTTTCGAAAGCACACCATAAACTTCTTAATGCAAACCAGAAACACAATGAAGCAAACCAGAAACCTCCGAATGCATACCACAAATCTCCTAAAACAAACCACAAACCTCATAAAGCAAACCACAACATTTGCGAAGCACACCAGAAACCTCCTAATGCAAACCACAAACACAGTAAATCAAACCACAAAAAAGCAAACCATAAACGTCCTAATGCAGACCACAAATATATTAAAACAAACCAAAAAGCCCTCAATGCAAACCACAAAATTTTTGAAAGCAAACCAGAAACTTCTCAATGCAAACCACAAACACGATAAATCAAACCAGAAACTTCTCAATGCAAACCACAAACACGATAAAGCAAACCACAAAAGGCATACGAAAATATGAGAAACCAAACCATAAATCTCACAATGTAGACCATACATCCGGTGGTCGTTGACCAACTCCGGTGACCGTCAGTCAGCAGATTCCGACGCCGATAGGCATATTCCGGCCCCGATGACTAGATTCCGACGCCGGTAAGCATATTCTGGCGACGGTGGCATATTCCGATGACAAAATAGCATATTCCGGCGACAAAAAGCATATTCCGGTGACCGGCGACCAGTTTCCGGCGACCGATGGCAGAATTCCGGCGGCCAAATTTTTGGGCCGAAAATATTTTTTATTTTTTATTACTTAAACATATTTTTCATAATGACAATTATACCCCTGCTTTGATTTTACACTAGGTCAACTCATCTAATAAAAAGTCATTACAACCCTAGCTTCATATTGGTTGGAGACTAGTGTTATTATAATAACAACAGAAGGAGTGTTGTCATAGTATCTAGTCCCCTCCCCTTCCCTTCCGACCCCTCCGTCTCCCCCGTTCCCTCGTCGGTCGGTTCCCAAAATCCAAATTTGATCAATCAAATTGAAAATAATAAATAAGAAGTGAAGTTTAATTAAAGACAAACGATGATGGGGGATTTTCCTCAAGGCCGGAGAAGCCCTGGTGAGAGGGCTCGATGGCGCCATTATCGATGGGGTTTTGGCGGAGAGAGCTGATAAGTTAGAGATGTGGGAAATCTAGGATCCAAGCTGGAAAAGTGATTGTAGAAATTAATGACGCGGAATTGAAACGAACACAGAAGATAACGATTTTACGTGGTATCCTCGATCGATTGATTGAGACTAATCCACGGTGAGCTCAGAACGAGCTCACGACTGATATTTTATTAGGGACTACATTGTGACGACTTGCTTACGACAATCTCCGTAGCTAAGCTTATATAGACGTAGGCTTAAAACCCTAATGACAACCAAGTTTCCTTCTTTGACAAGGACAAGGAAACAAGGGACTTGGAGGACAAGGAATTAATTATTTTTGACTAAATAATTAATATCCTCAACACTCCCCCTCAAGCGAAGACATGAATGACGAGAATGTCGAGCTTGAAACTGAACAACACTCAAACAACCTCTTGTTCGCAATGACGATCCAACAGGCTGTGACTTTGTTCACTTGTGGGAGAGGTAGACAAATGACGAAACTACTCCATGCTTGACCCAGTTCTTTGATAGTGAACTCAGCATTGGCAAAACTCCTCAACGTCGTGGATGAGACTGATCCTACTCCATGCTCGACCCAGTTCTTTGACAATGAACTCAGCATGGCGGAATTCCTTGACGTCTTGGATGAGACAAAAGACTGATGACTGTGTTGCTGACTTTGGAGACTTCTACCTGCACTGTTGACTCTGCTTCTCCATGCAACTTGACTGAACGATAGACGTAGTTGACTTGACGACTGAACTAGCCGACCAATGTGTGATGATTCCCTATTCTCCCCCTCAAGCTGACGCATGAACGATGTGAATGCCCAGCTTGAAAGTTAGAATGGTGTAGACTGAAACTTGACCAATTCTGAATGTCGAGGGGACGATCGGTACTTGGAGCGTGACTACCTCGCTCCAAGACTTGAGGAAACTTTGTTGTAGAAAGCGTTCTTTCTCTCCAACACCTACTATTTGCAAGGACAGATCGTGTTTGTCTCCTTCAGTGGCGGATCCAGGGGGTGGCCACCCCGGGCCCCGGCCCAGCCCTCCCCTGGATCCATAGTTAGTATAGGCCTTATGAATTTTTCGATTTTAGATATTCGGGCCGTTGTTATTTTAAAATAAGATTGGGTATAATTAGAAAAATAATTCAGATGAACATATTCAAAATCACTACTCTAAATTTAGCTTATAAATTCTAACCACAAAGGTTATTCATCTAAAAAACAATGGAACCTAAAAATTCAAAAAGTTGAAAACGTAAAAGACTAAAACATGTATGAGGTTTGTTACCTTGGAAAATTTACTAGAGCAGCTGGTGGATATAGGGATGGAAACACAATGCAAATTGATTAATAGATTGATTTGTCTAGTGTTTATGTTGCTCGTTTCAACAGCTAATACGAATAAAACCGTTTCAACAACGAAACATGTGAAAATTGATTTGCGCAACAAAATGAGCGATGGATTTCTAGTCGATTGCTCAAGTATTTTATTTGAAACAGTGTATACTATTGGTATGGATGTGGACTCCATTATTAATGCATTCGCTAAATTAAAATACCGTCGTGTACAATTTACATTGTAAAAAAATTATAATCATTATATTTTTTTTACTATTCTAATTTTCTAATAAAATGCGGCCCAATGCACTTTTGTGTTCTGATCCGCCGCTGGTCTCCTTGCCATGACTTTGACTGATCTTGGTGAAAAATTGCTTGCTACGTGACTTTGACAAAGACAACCCCAACTTTGACGATTGACGACGGTTGAAACAAAGCAACCAAACTCCACCACGGACAAATTTTCAACAATGACCATGTACTTCCTTTGACCAAACACACTCCAACCAACTGTTCTCCTAAGCTTGTGGGAAGTGATGCACTTGACGAGGGCGACGCAGCCTGATTCTTGGACTATTAGGACGAAGCCCAAAAGGAAGGGTGGCCGGCCCACTAGGTTTACGTTGCCGAGTCCGTCGTTGCCCCTCCTCTTCCTTCTCGCCTTTTCTCTTTCTCCACTGATGCTCGTCCCGCGGCAATCAGCCGCAACTACCAGAGCTACGGCCGGTGAGTGGACTGACAGAGGCTGAGCCAGCGACCGGCGTGGCTGGACGGAGTAACGGGGTAGGATTGCTCCGAGCCGGAATTGATATTGTTTCCCTCTTGTTGACACGATGGCACGATGGAGGACTGGTGCTGACGTGACGAGCCGGGGCCATGCAGGAAGGGCGGGAAGCTTCAAAACAGGTTTCAAGCTTGAATCTTCTTCGGACTTGAGGAAGCAGCTCAAAAACTTAGCAGCGTTATTGACGCGGATTAATTCCCAAAATACAGTAATAATTAAAAAAAATTCCCAGAATACCAAACTTTTAAAAAAAATTCCCAAACTACCAAAGTTTGACATAGTTCGAGTTTACAAAACTCGAACCAGTAGTGGATCGATTGTCAAAAACTCGATCCAGGTGTATCGAGGAAGGGACACTCGAACCACGTGAAGTGGATCGATGAGCTGGGCAGCGCTCCACCATAGATCGATTTACTAGGACGCGATCAGGGTCGTTCGATTGTTCAACCATCGAAGCAATGATGACGCGGATCGAGTGCGGTAAACTCGAGGTATGTGGATCGAGTCTTCCATAATCGATCCAGTTGACGCGGATCGATGACGTCAGGCGCGCCCAACCGTTGATCGAGTGTTATAAACTCGATCTAGGCCGTTCGATTGTCAGTCCCGCGATGCAGGTATGACGCGGATCGAGTGCTTTAAACTCGATGACGCGGATCGAGTGTTTAAAACTCGATGCAGTGGATCGCTGATGTCAGCAACGATCAACCGTTGATCGATTACCCTAAGCTCGATCCGGTCCGTTCTTTTTGACGCGGATCGAGTGCATAAAAATCGATGCACTTGTTCGAGTTTGGCAAACTCGATCCACTCTCCCACAGAACCTATAAATACCCCCACATATTCCACCAAAACTCACACCACTCCATTCTTCTTCCTCTCTTCCTCCCACCACTCTTGAAGAAAAAAATATGCTCTGTGGTTGCGGCTAAGCCCGATCTTCCGCATCAGATTTTTTTTCTTTAGTTTGGTACTTCTATCACTCAAAATTGTCGAGATGGATCCGAGTATTTACGATCCTAGATTATACATTCAAGGTGGACCGCGAGAAACCGATTTGTTGGATGAGCAACCTTACCATCGGTCTGAAAGTGTTTGGGCGGCAGATCCGGTAGGCACTTCCTCATGTACTTTTTTTTAATGTGATAGTATTCTTCTAATTTTTTTGTATAATAATTAATGTTTTTTTTTCTACAGGAACAACTTGACGTAATCACCCATCGGTCGCTATCTCGCTTGCCTAAATGGGATGATCGTATCGAGCCCTTCATATCTAGAGCGCGATTGCTGAGGGTGCGAAAGTTTGTGGGGATGGAGATGGACAACAACCTTCTTACGGCAATGGTGGAAAGATGGAGAAAAGAAACGCACACATTCCACCTTCTAGAGGGAGAGATGACGATTACGTTGAAGGACGTAGCCATGCTGACAGAGCTTCCAATCGATGGTGATGCAATAATAGAAAGTTCTTCAAAACCATTGAATGGTTGGGGCCAATATATAAGCGAGCGTTTAGGCATCATCATCCCAGAGGAAGCAGAAGAAGGTCGTCGTGTACCACCTCTACACAAGTCTATGCTATTGATACCTTGGCTAGTGAGGACCGCTGGGGAATTACCGGAGGATGCCACGGATGCTCAGATAGAGAGGTATGCTCGCATCTACCTTATTTGTTTGGTTGGAGGATTTTTGTTTCCGAACAAGTCTGGTGGAAATATGCATTGTATGTGGCTTCGAGTTCTTTTGGAAGATTGGGATGAGATTGGGAGAAAAAGTTGGGGATCTGCTTGTTTGGCGAGGATATATTCGGAGTTGTGCAAGTGTACGGATCCGAAAACAAAGCAAGCAGGTGGTCCCATGTTCATCCTCCAACTATGGGTTTGGGAGCACCTTCCTACTTTCGCTCCGATCTGCCCTGCCAACAGTTGGGGTCCCGATGAGCCACTACGACAATGGGCTTATGGTGCTAGATGGATTGGAGCTATCACGAGTTTCTCCTCTCTAGATGGGTACCGCCAACATCTTGACCGTATAGAATTCAACGAGGTAACATTCTAACTTATGATTATTTATTTTTAATTTATTTGTTGAAGTTATTTGTCTTAGCCTATGATTTATTTTTATGATTATGAATTCTATTTTATTTGTTGAAATTATTTTTCTTAGCCCATTATTTATTTTTATGATTATGAATCCTATTTTATTTGTTGAAATTATTTGTCTTAGCCCATTATTTATTTTTATGATTATGAATCCTATTTTATTTGTTGAAATTATTTGTCTTAGCCCATTATTTATTTTTATGATTATGAATCCTATTTTATTTGTTGAAATTATTTGTCTTAGCCCATTATTTATTTTTATGATTATGAATCCTATTTTATTTGTTGAAATTATTTGGCCCGATTTTAATTTATATGTTGTGTTGAAACTTAGGTGGAGTGGGATCCGTATCCGAACGGAGCAAAGGATTTGTACGAGTTGCGATACCCTGAGGATCGCCGACTCTGGTCGTGCAAGTTGCCTGTGATTTGCCACAACATTGCCGAGTGGCACCTCCCGGATAGATGTGTCCGACAATATAATTGGACGCAACCGATTCCTCTCCCACCACCGGACGTACATAAGTCACTCCACAAGTACAGCAAGGATTTGCGGGGTACAATAACTGATTGGCCAACCAAGCACCGTAGATGGATCGAAATGTGGGAGTCTCGTCAGACGTATGCAATTGATGGGATCCCAATGACGAGGCCAATGGGGTACCAAGATGAATACATGGTTTGGTACCGCAAGTTCACAAAAAGATGGGTAACCAAACGTGGCGCCGTGATCGGTTCATTGGTAAGCACAATATCTATTTACTATAATCACCTTTAGCTACACAAATAGTGTTTGACTAACATGTTTATTATTTAGGTTGATGGGTTGGAACTTGCATCAATGACGTTGGAGAATGAACCAGAAGATAATGTGCCAGGGGAGAAAATTTCATTCTTGAAGAAGCTCTTCAAGAATCTCTTGTCATGTTCGCGGGAAATCCGAAGGGATGTCATTGCATATCCTCCTGCTCCTGCACCGCCACGTCCTTCCTCCCACGCCATTGAAGTTGAATCTCTCCCGCCATCACCACCAAGGAGGAGTAAGCGTCGGCAAGAGCCCGTTACAGTCCCTGTGCATGTACGAGAAGATGTGGCACTTCCTGACCCATATGAGTATGGATTCCCTCCCGCCAGAAGGGAATTTGGAGAGGGATCATCAGGTTCTGCTCAAGGAGGGGGAGGGGGAGCCTACTATTCACCGTATGGTCATCAATTTCAAACCCCGCATCAAAGCTTCCAGACTCCGATTCCAAATGTTTATTATGGTCCTCCAACCACTGCAACCCCACCTCCATTGCCACGAAACACTGGAATTGGATATGGAGTTCGTTCAAGGAATAGACGTCGAAGGGAGGGACGCGGACGTGGAGCACAAGAGTGAGGTGTTCTTTAGAGTTGTTAAGTTATTCTATTTCTTTAGAGTTGTTAAGTGGTTCTATTTCTAATGACGTTGTTCCGTTGTTCTATTTCTAATGACGTTGTTCCGTTGTTCTATTTCTTTAGAGTTGTTTAGTTGTTCTATTTCTTTAGAGTTGTTAAGGTGTTCTATTTCAAATGACGTTGTTAATTTGTTCTATTTCTCAAATTGTTAAGTTGTTCTATTTTACAACATAAAGTTTTTAAATCACACCATAAAATTCAAATCACAACACAAAGTTCTTTAATCACACCACACCATAAAATTCAAATTACAACATAAAGTTCTTAAATCACACCATAAAATTCAAATTACAACATAAAGTTCTTAAATCACACCATAAAATTCAAATTACAACATAAAGTTCTTAAATCACACCATAAAATTCAAATTACAACATAAAGTTCTTAAATCACACCATAAAATTCAAATCACAACACAAAGTTCTTAAATCACACCACACCATAAAATTCAAATTACAACATAAAGTTTCAATTATCAGTCGATGGCCCTGGACACTGGCGCCTATCATGCCCTTCAACTCGACATGCAGAGCACTTCTTCGGGCGGCGTCGCTGTGTCCTTGATCTATCCATTTCATTTGCAATTCGGTTAACTCTAGGTCGACCTTTGGTACGCTTCAAGTGCTCGGGAGGGTACACTACAGGTCCATCATACTGGGGCCAATATGCTTCATGAGCCAAGGGAAAGAACGACCCTTCCCAAACTCTGACCACGTATGGAGTCTTGTAGTATGGACTAACAAATATCAACGGGTCCAAATTAACGCTTCTCGCAGCTGCATATGCATGAGAGCAAGGCAGATGTCTCCCTTGAAACTTCCCACAAGTACACTCTCCAATTCCATTCTTTGCATCCAGTATAACTGTTTGAGCATTACCACCCTTTGAACTATCTGGTCCACTTCCTGTTACTACTGCGAAGCGGGAATCTCTTCGACTAAATAAAGTCACCTTATGCCATTTTGCCCTTTCTGACCATGGTTTCATATCATCTGTAATCTTCTTTGGGATGTAGATTCCAGCATTCAACATCTGATATGCTGCTTGGTAGCGTTCAACGAACCATGTCACCGTACGAAAGAAGGTATGCAAGACTATAGATGAGATAGGCATTGCACGAAGACCAACATACAAACCATTGAGGCACTCACCCATATTCGTTGTTGTTATTCCATACCTATACCCTTCGTCTTGATGTAACGTCCACCTCTCGTAAGGATGAGTTTCTAGCCAATCTGCACCTTCAGAATGGACCTCCCTTATGCTCTTCATTTTGTCTACAAACTTTCTAGTCTGAAAAGCAATAGCTACAATAAAGTAAAATAAGGTTAGTAAAGGAGTATACGCATTCAAGCAATTGATATAATCACAACATCTTATTTGTTCTTACCAGCGTGCCAAACTGCACGTTGTCCATAAGTTCTACCAAAGTGCTTCCCGTAATTGCTTTTGAAATGTCGTATGCACCAGCGCCACTTCCACCCTAGCTCCTCGGGCAGGTCGTAGAAAGCATGTGCAATTCCATGGTGTCGATCAGAAAGTATGGCAATGTCCTTCCGTTGAGTGACACGAGTGTATAGTTGGGAAAAAAACCATGCCCAACTTAAGTTGTTCTCCGATTCGACTATAGCAAAAGCAAGGGGGAAAAGTTGCATACTGCCATCAACACTAGTGGCAACGAGTAGAGTGCCCTTGTATTTGCCGGTCAGAAAGGTCCCATCAACTTGGATTATTGGCAGACAATGGGTGAAACCATCAATGCATGGTTTGAATGCCCAAAATACTCGCTTAAACACGCGTTTAGCACCCCCATAGAAATCTTCGTAACTAGACACAAAAACAGACCCAGGATTCTTGTCCTCCATTGCAAGAATCAAACGAGGCATGTTAGCAAATGACTCTTCCCAATCACCATACACCTCTGCCATAGCTTTTTGCTTCTCATGCCATGCTTTCTTGTAACTGATGGTATAGCCATGTCGATTCTTCACTTCAGCGATGACACTCTTCACGGTGATCCCAGGTTGTGCCTCAATCAGATGTTTGATTGTTTGTGCAACCTTCCTTGCACTCAATTGTCGGTGATCTAGAGAAATCAGTGACGACCTACAAGTGTGGTTGTTGTCTGTCTTACGAATGAGCCAAGCCCCATTTCTTTTAACATATGCCGCCCGAACATTCCACATGCATCCGTCGCCATGGTTCTCGCAACGAACATGAATTTGTTTAGTGTCAGAAGTGATGACACGATATTGAAAGCTTCTTCGCATAGCAGTTTCTTTCAATGCATCGACCACCTGAGGCTTTCCTCCAAATGTTTGGCCAACCACGAATCCAGAGTCAGGAGTCCATATTGGTATAGGAGGGAGGTCAGGATCGTCGTTGTGCGCATAGAGAGGATGTTGTGGCACCATCGTGTAGTGAGGTGTGGGGGGCTCAAATTCCCCCTCATCAACTTCCAGATCTTCACCATCTGAACTACTCATAGATCCTAACTCTTCATCTTCCATGTCGCTTGCCTCGCTAGTGTACGGAGGACTTGGTTTATCCACATATGGATCATTGTTGATGCCAGATGCTGGTGTAGATGCTTGTCTGGGTGCCCTTATGTAATCCCATTCTTCACCCCATACTGGCCACTCCTGTCCGTCATGTTCCACCAATGGACCAGTTGCAGTTCGATCCTCGTATGTTGGCCATGGAACATCATGCCGCACTCTGAAATCTCCTGAACCGGAAAACCCTCCAGATCCTTCACCGTGTTCGGTATAACCGCCGCCACCATATTGGCCAAAAACTTCTGTTTCGACATACACCTCAGCACTTGGAAATCTGTTCTCTGCAATAAATCTCACCATCATATTAATGTCATCATCGTCAGACAAAACTGATCCTTCATATACAAGTGCATAATCCTTGTAAACCGGCATACGGTAAGTCATCTTGCATACTCTTCGCCCTGCTATGCAACATCGTTCCGCACAAATATGACTGAGTTCTTGCCAAGTAAATATGCTCTCAATCCGGACAATACTTGATTCACCATCTTCGTAGTCAATACTATCATGAAAGTGTGTAATTCGACCATTCCACCGAATCTTTAAGTCGAATTTTCGAAATTTTCTACCCATTTCTGCAGTTTATACAAGCAGCTCATTACATACAGTACAAACAATACTAAATTAATCTAAAATTCTAATATGCTCATTCAAACAAAGTAAGCAGAACTTACCTCCAAATTTTATCTTCTTTGCTCAGCTATGGTGCTCCAGCAGCTGCAGTTTGTGTTTGGAAGAAAGAAGATAGAAAGGAAGAGTGCTGCCAGAAAGTGCTTTTATTTATCGTAAACTGATGGAGTGGGTCGAGTCCAGTACACTCGAACTACACTAGTTCGAGTTTATTAAACTCGATCTACGTCGACCAATAATTTCCCCCCCTGCGCCCTATTCTGTGGCATGTCGGATAGAAAGCGACTGGACAGAATATTTGAGCAAGTAGTTCGAGTTTAGTGTAATCGAACTACACTAGTTCGAGTTTCTAAAACTCGATCTGCTACAACAAAAATCTTATCCCTGTAACCCTATCCTGGAGCATGTCGGTGGGCAGTAGTTCGAGTATTATGGCCTCGATCTAGTCCAGACGTAGATCGAGTCAATTAAAGTCGATGCCCTACATCGAAGATTTTGAAGTCGATCTAACTTGATCGAGTGTTACATACTCGATCTACTGAGATCGAGTCTCCTCTAATCGATCATGGTTGTTCGAGTCTTCTAAAGTCGAACCACTGTTGATCGAGTATTTAAAAGTCGATCCACTTTTGGTTCGAGTTTCTTATCGTCGATCTTGTTAGTAGTTCGAGTCCCATAAACTCGAACCCCTTGAAACTTGGGTAATTTGGGAAAATTTTATAAAACTTATGTATTCAGGGAATTATGTATAATTTTGGCTGTATTCTGGGAATTCTTCCTATTGACGCCGACTTGGATTCAAAACTAACGTTCTCTCCGCCGTTCCTCGTAGCATCCTCGTCGTCCGGTGACTGGCAAAGATGACGGCCAGCAGTGACAAGGACGACGATCGGGAACAAGAGCACAGTCGATGATGGCGACGACGCAGACTAGATATCTCGTGCTTGACTGGCGGGAAGGACTCCGCCATTGAACTACGGGAGAAGCAGAGGCGGCAACGAAGCGGATCCGGAGTTGAAGGTCGGAGTGGACATCGACTCTTCCTTCTTACGACAGAATGGACACGGACCGCAGCTGAAAGACGATCTGACTAGGCTGCGTCTGACCTATTGAGGAGTGATAAATCACGGCGGACTGGACTTCGCCTAGGTCGGCGGGACTACGAACTGAACTGGTTGTGGACGACGACTGTGACTGGGCCGCAGCCTTGACTTATGATTCAACCACAACAATGGTGACCATGTGAGCTACCACATCTTGGAACAGATGTGGACAGTGGTAGTGATTGGCGACTGCGGAAGCTCAAAACCCTAGACAAGGGATCGAGTTTAGCTCTGATACCATGTCAAGAACCAGTTGATCCCAATAACTCGAGTTGTTGGGAGAGGTTCAATCGTGGATCATATACCACACACTAAATTGGCCAGGTCTAATTGGATGATCGTCGGCAACAACTCCACGGAGGTGAGATGGCGGAGTTGAAAGCTGGTTCAATTCAACAAGCTAGCGACTAATATCATCCATCTCCTCGACTGCTCGTCTTGGAGGAGAATTAAAATCGGACTTTGGCCTTCCTGGAAGAACAATGGTTCAATTCGGGGTAGCAAACGACGTTTTATCGGGACGAAGGCTTGCAAGATCTCGAAAAATTATGCGGAATCAAAAAAAATTTCACCACGATCGGATAACCGAGCACAAAGTTACGTTTTTTTAAAGATTCGACGCAGGTCAGGCCTTCACCGTTTTTCTCTAACGCGGTGATGCAATCACCGCCTTCCTCTACCGCGGTGATGCAATCACCGTTTTCGTCTAACGCGGTGATGCAATCACCGCTCTTCTTTAACGCGGTGATTCAATCACCGCCTTGGTCAGACGCGGTGAAGGCCCAAACATGCGTAGATTGGGAATTTTTTTCATAACGTGTGTATTTTGAGAATTTTTTTTAAAAACATGTGTACAGTGGGAAATTTTCCAATTTGATGTGACTTATAGTATAAGGATATGTTTGGGAAAAATTAATAGTAGATGGGCAATTTATACCTATAACCCTTTATAGAAAGATATTAGTTCTGAAATCGGAACTCAAGTAGTATTGATTCAAACATTAATATTAAATTGTATGTGCTGTTTAGTTCAGAAAAAATACAGAAGTGTAACCAAAACATTGACCTTTGTGACGAATATAATTTCTTTTAAAAAAAAGTGACGAGTATAATCATTTTTTGTGACAAATCTACACATAATATAATGATAAAATTGGAAAATGAGAGTCTCATTTCAAATTTGTAGCTTTAGAGTGATTATAGGAATCTCTTTTTTGTCATAATGCCCAATTTATCTTTATATTATGTGTAGATTTGTGACAAAAAAAAATTACTATATTTATCTCAAAGATCCATGTTTTGCTACACATATGTATTTTGTCTAAACTGAACCACACATACAATTTATTAGTTAATGTTTGAATCAATGTTACTTGAGTTCCGATTTCACAATTAATCACTTTCTATAAGAAATAATAATTTCAGGTAAAATACTTTTCCTACTTGGTTGAATAAGCTCTTTCTATGAGATATATTCAATGTTTTAATATTTTATATTTCAAATTTCGTGAAGCGAGAGCGAAAGTAGGAAGAGTATTTTTGTCATCACGATTATTATATACTTCATATGAAAAAGTATCAATATCAAGATTTAAATCATGGTCTCTTAAAACAAAAACAATAATCACAACCAATTACACTAAACAAATTTTGTTCTATCTTCATAAATTATAAACATGCACTAAACGAAGATTTGAAAAGTATAGGACTTTTCACAGTTAGCTCGCCTATTAAATCTTCTAAAAATCATAATTTAATATGTGATTTATAATTTTTATAACCTATAAAATGACGGATAATCTTAAAATTACAACACAAATTTCTTTGCTTAAAATATTGCATATCGAACTACAGTATTGAATAAGCAAAAGCAATGTAAAATTGTTTAATTAATATGAATTTTCAGAACTAATACGAAACAATAATATTTTGTACAAACTACAGGTGACTGGTTCGCTAAAATTTTAGCCTGGTTAACTGCTAAACGTTAAACTCTTGCTAATTGGGCATGAATGGACCCGACAATAATGAGACGATATCGAGTTTAATGTGATGTTCATTTTGTCAATTTTGGATTGGATGCGTTGATCAATTTATAGGGCATTAACATATAAAGGAGTTATAATTAACATCATTATATAATTTTTACTCTTTTTAATAATTAATTTAATCTTAATATTTGCGATGTTTGAAATATTTTATGTATGATTTAGAGGTATAATTATTATTTGTGACATCATTAGTAGTTTACTCAAAACCATTTTTATGTATAATGAATTTGTACGAAAAATACATGTAAAGTGAAGATGAACCTGATTATGCATTTTGATTCTTTAGATAAATACAAGAGTAAATACAATTTAATATCCAAACCTTTTATTTTAAACAATATAATAGCCAAACCTTTTCGAAAACAATCTAATATCCAAATCGTCAACTTTCTGTCTGTTCGACCGTTAGTTGACACTTCAAAAAAGTTCGAAGTACGACACTTCATCAATATCCATCGATATCTTCTCTGAAAAACCACCAACATATCGTAGTTCCAAACCCGAGAAGTCCATGACTCCACCATGATGGTATAGAATATCTAAATATTCAGTCATCTGCAATGCCAAAGCAAGAAACAAAGTTGTATTGTGACAATTTTCCCTAAACAAAGCTTTTTTGAAGTGTCAACTAACGGTCAAACGAACGGAAAGTTGACGATTTGGATATTAGATTTCGAAAAGGTTTGGCTATTATATTGTTTAAAATAAAAGGTTTGGATATTAAATTGTATTTACCCTAAATACAATGGTTTAAGACTTTAAGCAATGAACTAACTATACACTCACTCGATTGGTTTAACGAGTTCTGCTTTTTATAACTATTAATAATTAGTTTATTCACAAGCTATCAAGCTACTGTGTCCGTCGATGAATAAACGACCATCTATTCGCCAGGTTTCAGGAGCTCTGATTTACACTATCGACTGTGAATGAAGAAGCATTTCGAACGCAAAATTGGAGAAGTAATTGGGATGTTTCTAGGTTTCTCTCGATTCCAGACGGTGGGAAGAAAGAGGAAGAGAAAATGGGATAGTTGTGAGATACAAAGCTGAGAGAGAGAGATGAAAGAACAAATGAAAAAACAAAGAGCAAGGCAAAGCTCAGGAGGAAAATGAGGTAGTGTGAAATAAGTGTCATTTTGATTTATTTAATGAATATTCTTGACTCTATTATGTTGAGTTTTGATTTATTTTAGAGCATGACATTATGTTTGACATATTTTTTCCATTTCAATTTAAAATCCTAAATCAATATTATCATTTGGAAGATTTTTTTCTTAATACGATTATTGTAATTTCTTATATTTAAGGGGTATTTGATAATGTCAATATTTTAACGATTTTTTTATTTAAAGTTTGTATTGAAAGATCGTACGTACCGGCGGTTAGACCATAAAACTTCACATTATAGGCTAAATCGATAGGTGATATTTAGCAATATGAAATGGTTGAACCATAGTTAAATTATGACTTCAGTATAAAATACTCTACTACCAACTTTTTCGATATGGTTTTACAATCCTTTGGTGCAAACAATTTTTTTACACTAGTGGAAACAAAAGTTTTAAGGCACATTTTGAACTATCTATTGCAAAAAAGCATGAGTTTTAATGAGAATATGTGATCTCATGCAACCCAAAAGACACTTTGCAACTTCTATCTTTTTAAAATAAATTTATGTTACTCATACCCTCGCTCATTCATAAACTTAATGAGTAACATATATTTCATGTAATATTATTTCCATACTTTTTATTTATTGAATTATTTCATGAAAAAAATATTTGCTGCATGAAAATTATTACATTGTTGCTAGACATGTCTGCAATTTGAGTATAATTTGGGAAGTCCGTACACAACACATTGTCGAACTAACTATTAGCGACAGCTTAGCCGCATCATGTCCGATATATTTCAAATCAAGCAACTTCAGATTCATTACCAATAGTGTGGTAAAAAAGAATGCTCTCTATTGGGAAAAACTTAAAAGACATACTAAACTCTACGAGACATTTTCTTTCATTTTAAAAGTTGATTATGTATGTATGTATTATGAGAAACAACTCTAATATTCAACTATATGGTTTAATTAAGTAATGAATGACAATTAGTTATATTTAATTTTTTCATCAATAATTATATGTAATGCTTATATTATATTTTTGTTATCTTTTCATGGAGGTCTAAACACATTATGCATAGTTGGATCACTTTTAAAAAATGTTACGTGCATAACTAAGGTAGAAAACAATAATTTCATGCATTTCAAATCATCTACTATATTCATTATTATATAGCATATTCGCCAATAAAATTGGGATTGTGATAGTGAATATTAACGCTAAAACACTAGCATCATAAGTCCGATAAAATCGCTGCAACAGACCAACGCAAGTAGAGTCCAGACCGGGAATAGAGCAGTCAGTAACCTTATGGTGAGTAACCATGAGTAACCCGTCCACATCAGAATGACATCAGTATCCTCTCTCTCCTGGAAAGCCTTTAATTTTCCCCTCTTTCATCTTTGACGGACAATTTCTCACTCATTTATGTCAAAAAAAATTTTTTTTTTTTGCACAGTTAGATCAGATTAATTGTGCTCTTCAAAATGATATCCACTTTAATATATTTTTCGAACAAAAAAAATTGAACCATTTTTTACCAATCTATACCATATGGTCCAGAATTGATTATCGATGGGTCCAGACCTACTCTTCCAGCATTTCCCGAGCAACCGACATAAGTACTCCGACAAATTCAAGCTTACTATATATTAATAATACTAATACAGTACAGAATAACAAATCTCCAAAATTATTATTAATACAACAAGTTCCCCAAACTAGCACAAATTACACTACTACCCCAGAAGCAGACCGCAAACTTCCAACAAAACAGCCAGTCGATCAACGGCGGCGGGGAGGGCAGAAAGTAACCAAATAGTTGCCGCCGGTACAAGTAGAGATGCTGGTTGGATCATCATAAGCATAAGAATACGCTCTCGGGCAAGCCGCCTTGAAGATCCTCGAGTACGCCGTCGGCTTGCAGGTCTGCGGGTTCCCATACGCGCCGGTACAACAGTACCTCGGCGAGTTGAAAGCAGAGCACGCGCTTTTACACGCCACCACGCGCCGCCCGTCGCGCGACCGCACCTGTAGCCCGGCAGGGCACATCAGGTTCAAATCGCTCACGCAGCCAGCGGTGGTGCACTTCCCGGCGGTCCCCTTCACGGGGGTAATAGCCATGGCGATGTTATAGCCGTCGACGAGGCTGACGTCGTAGAAGTCCTGGTCGCGGCCGAGGGTGATCTCGGCGAGGGTGGCCGGCGGGGCGCCGCCGAGGCCGTTGCAGTAGAGGGATCCACCGCAGTCCCCCGTGGCGCATCGGCCGCGTCCCGAGGCGTCGAAGGAGCAGCCGTGGCGGCCCCAGAAGCGGCCGGACCAGAGGGGCGGGAGGGTTAGGGTTTGGGCCTTGTTGGGCGGAAGGTGGAAGCCGCCGCGGGCGAGGATTGGGCTTCCCGAGCCCGGCTGGATCCCGGGCCAGACTGGGTGGTTGCATTTGTTGATCATTGTGACCGTCGTGGTTGACGAGACATCGACTGCGAGATTTGGGGAAACAAAAAAATTAGTTGCTGGGAATTAAAATTGATGAGAGAAGAAAGGGGTGGATTTTAAAATTACCTGCATTGTGGAAGATGAGGATGAGGGAGAAGAGGAGGAGAGCCGCCGGGGTTGTCATCGGAAGGTAGAGAGTGTGAACTGTGATGAAGTGTTTGGGGGTTTGCAAAGAAAGGAGGAAGGTGATTTATAGAGGGAAGGGAAGGGAAGGTGGTGGTAGACAGTAACTTTTCTTTTTTACTGGCTGCTGGTTGGTTTGGTTTGGTTCCATGGTTCATGGTTGGGACAGAGAAGGGTAAATAATTAATTTTGGCTGATTGATTGAGCTGGGGAAGGAGAAGCGCAGTACAGAACAGTAGAGTGTCTGTCTCTGACCACTGAGAGACTGAGTCGCTGCGCATTGTTATATGTGAATCTCGAAACAATACAAATCATGTCCAGACTTTTGCCTTTTCCTCCTCTCTCTCCCTTGATATTTTTCTCTCTTACATCATTCTTGTTATACTTTTGGAGGTGAATTAATTAATAGGCAGTTCGCATTTAACCGATGAAAAGTTGAAAACACACATAGTAATATAGAACAATATTTCAACGGCACAATATGTGATGCACCCAAAACCCTTTGATCATACATTGTGATTCTGATTACAAGATTATTATTATTATTATTACTTTGTGTATTTGAGTGACTAAAGCATCCAATGGTGTTCTCTTGTTACGAAATTCATTAAATCTACGATTCTATAAGGGTACACTGCAAAGTGATAAGGAGACAATTGAGTTGTGGGAGGAGAAGATCGCTGAACTCAATCACTAACCAATCCTAATTACCACGTCATATGCTTATGATACTCTTCTTACTATGTGGTATGTGAGTCGAATAGCAAAATTGAGCTAGCTAGGTCCATGATAGATAAATAATACACACCATTGTCCATTGGTGGTAGCTAGGGAAGGAGAAACAAAGGCGGGGAATATGGAGGTTGGTGGTCTCATTCGACCTTTAGGTCTGTAGCATTCATGTGTCCTAGATAGATAGTGGAATTCATGTTTCATCCTTTTGCAGGTCCCACTCTCCCTAGCCCCTCCCTATCCACCTTTACACTAAAAAAAACCCTCGCGAGTCGTGACCTGCTTCTGCTTCTAGCTTAGCTAGAACTCCAATCGATTTAGATCAACAAGATTGTACACATAAAGGTATAAATATCGATCATTTCATTAAGTAATACGATTCACTTTTAATGTTAGTTTCCACCTTTCTGTTTGTTTCGGACATAAAGAGAATGCAAAAATTTATTTAGAATTAATTGGGTATTTATTTAAATTCGAGTATCCAATAATATGGGGTCCAGTTTAATTCCAAACTAAAGAGTCGGTATGAATATATGCCCCAAAAGTAAATTTTCTCAACATATAATTTGACACATAATAATAAGTTGGGTTTGTGAAATGAGCATTTCTACTATGCTATATAGTATTGGTGCTTAATGTACAACTTAAAGTTGTACCATAACATTAAATGTATAAGTTTAGGTTGTACCATAAAGCAATTTGTACTATAATGTTATGGTACAACTTTACAACTTGAAGTTGTACCATCACATAAAGGTACAAGTTCAAGTTGTACCGTAAAAGAATTTGTACAAAAAGTATAAGTACAATTTTAAGTTGTACCATAACGTAAATGTTCAATTTTAAGTTGTACCATAAAAGCAAAACCTTTTAACACCAATACTATATAGCATTATAAAATTTGTCTTGTGAAATACTCAAATATTGAGTCTTATTTTTCATCTTTAAGCACCGTAACAATAAAAATTCAGAAATCGATTATTATCCACCACATGATTATGAATGACAATTGCACTCAAACTCATATCAATCCATTCATAGGACATGAGTAGGCAATGAGAGGCGTCATAGGGGTGGGCATACGGTTTGGTAAAACCGAACCAAACCTAACTGAACCAAAAAACTAAATTAATGTTATTCGGTTCGGAATTCGGAAGGGAAAATGACATATTTCGGAAACTAGGGTTCTTTCGACCGAACCAAATAACCGAATTACTATAATTGCAAGCTCCAAATGGTGGGTTTTTATGTTTGTACTTATTATAGGACTTAAATATTTGAATCATGTTAGTGTTTAATGACTTATGTGTTGAAATGTTTGATTTTATGCATATAATTGCATATTTATTGTTCATATTAAGGTGAAAAGTAATTTAAAAGAGAGAAAATACAAGATAACTTCACAAATTCAATTTTGTATGAAAAATCGAACCGAACCGAATCATAATTCAGTTTGAACCGACCGAATCAAATTATAATTCGGTTCGAATTCAATTTGGGATTTGATGGAATTCGAAAACTCGAGATGCATTATTTCGGTTCGGTACCGAACCGATCGAATACCCACTCTAGAAGGCGATACATAAGAAATGGAAACTCTGACCCGATTCCGTCACCGTCCCTTTGTTTGGCTTCTTCTTCCTTGGCTGGTTCATTTCTTAAGGGCAATTATTTATTCTTGCACCAAAATATTCGTTCGGCTTCATGTAACTACAAAGGCAAACCGAACCACCATGCAGTAGCAGTACACACGTGACTTGGACTTCCCTCTCCACGGCCACTCACCCATTTCGATCTATTTGTTTAACAATAAGCTATCTAGCTTAAAGAGATAAAGGCCAACATCACTACTTGTGTTTTCATTCAAGACACAGAGATTCGATTACCATACTTGTCCTTTACCGTCACAGATCTAGCCAAAGGAAGGGGGAAACTAAAAGAGAGAGAGAGAGAGCCAACGGCAATATATATTAGTGATTGGTCGGGGCGGGACGGGCGGTAACTCAATATTCGTGTCCCGCCCCACGCTATTACAGGTTCGGCCGGGCAAAATTTGTGCAGATACAGGTTCTTATATGTTATTTAAAAAAAATACACACAAATTTTACTTTTTACGATAAAACAAAGGGAAAACACTTTATGAATGAAAAATAGTGATAATAGAATGGGTAATTTAATCTAACAAGTTCAAATCCTGGCTCTGCCCCTGTTACCAAGGAGACAAAATTATAAGTGGTGATCACTGGATCGATCGGCGAAGCAGTATGATTGACCATGCTTACCAAATACCAATCATATGATACTAAAGGACTAATGGCACAATATCGACCAAGTTGTTTCAGTTTACGAGCAGGAATACAGTGCTCTAAAGCAATGACATAAAAACAATGATTGTGAAATCATACCAAAAGTTATATTGGAAAGTTAGTGATAGAGTATTTTGTATTATAATCGTGTTGAAACTTGAAATTATAGTTCTACCATTTCGTACCGATAAAACTACTTATCATTTAGTGTTCAATATCAAATATTTCCAGTCCAACAAATCAATACGGCAAGATTTCTAAAACATTGATAAAAACGGATTAACTGAACCAAGTTAGTAAACCCATATCTCATGTGGAAAAAGCTAGCTTGGGTGCACATAAGGCAGCAAAAAACGAAAAATCAAAGAAGCGGGGCATGATAATAAAAAGTGAAAAGTGCTGAAGGGGAGGGCCATTGGCAGCCCTTTATGGCACTTTCGTTGCCGCAAACGGCAGGGAGGAAAAAGATAATAGCACCTTTGCGGGCTGCGGCACATACAGAAAATCATGGTTGTCATGCATGTGCCATACCACCCAGTTGAACTTGGTTCAACTTATGCAGGTTATGAATCGGCTTGACACTACTTGTATGACTGGTATGATCGACTTACGTATTCTAAGCAAAATGACATCAATTTAATAATTAAAAGTTGATGATATTTGTTGGATTGTAACTAAATTGTCCACAAATATATTTTATATATGATTAAATACATTGAATAGTAATTATTTTCATATGTTTTTTAAATCGGTATGAACTTATACAAACTAGTTATACCACCTGTCGTACCATTTCACATGCCAAACCGGCACGATGGTATAAACCGATTCAACAACCTTACAGAAAACCAACCCATATAAATAAATACCAAATCATTTATCGACATCAAAATGGAGAGGTGGGGAAATCATTGCTTTTTTTTTTTAAATTCAGGATGCGCATTAGCAAAACTTTTTCGTTTCATTGGTCGAACGTGATCATTCCTTTGCTAATGATGTTCTGCTTGGTACTTAGTTCTACAGCTTCGTGAGATGGTGTTTACACTACAAAAATAATCGTGTACCACATTGATTATTTACAAGACATTAACTATCTTTATAAGGCCAGATCAACAATAAAAATTAATGTTATTTAAACTGGGCCTACGATACTAGATTTTTAAATCCAAATGATTAGGCCTGACATGACGCGCGAGAATAAACTAAGTCTGGTGCCTCCTCGCGTCAAGCCTCCTCGCGTCAAGTTGGTAGACCGCCTTGTCGCGACAAACCTCCTTGTTTAAACCATAGACTAGGAAACCGGATCGTACCGACCGGTTCAACCGGAAATTGCACCAAAAGCGGTACGGTTGGCTGATTGTGCTGATTTTACCGTGCCGGCCGGTTTTTTCGGTTTGACTGGTACAAAAAGAAAAACCGCCCGGTTTTGGTCTAACCGGCGGTAGCCTTATTGAAAGAATACGTCCCCGTTTTAAGCACTAAAATTAAAAAAAAAAAATCGGCATTCAACAGCGCCAAAACACAAAACCCTAATCCAAAACGTCGTTTCCTTCTTCCCTGTTCCCCATCCCCGCCGCTCCTCTTCTCCACTCCCTCTGGTGACTGGCGGCCCGCGACCGGCGAGAGGAAAGAAGCAACCCGCGACGGCGAAAGGTCGAGCCGATCCCCGCTCCGCTCCTCTGTCGTTCCTCTTCTCTTCTTATCTAGCGACCCACGACCGGCGAGTCGAGTCGTCCCTGCTCCGCTCCGCCGCTCCTTTCTCTCCTCCTCAGCCGCGACGACCGTGCTGGAGTCTCCCTACCCTGCTCAAGAACGTCGCGCCGATACCTGCAGGAGTCTCCCTCCCCTGCTCAAGAACGCCGCATAAGAGAAATCGGTCGAGCTCTTTTCCATCCCAAAGCCAGCGATAGTCAATTAATATGATTAATTAGGTAAGGAATGGCTATTGCTCTATGTTGAAAATGGGTCACCGTGGTTGTATAATGCTCTATTTGGTTCTTTTTTTGATGGATTATATTTTTTATACTATCGCATTTCATTTCTCTATCAATAGTGAAAAACGGTATTAACCGGTACAAAACGGTTGAACCACGGTCGTTCCACAAAATACCATACCAAAAGGAATCCGGTATGATGTCCGGTACGGTTTCCTTTACCATGGTTTAAACACATCGCGAGTCTACAAGATATGTGGGGATAAGGTCACAAAATAAACTAAGTTCAAGCGCCAAGCCTCCTCGCGTCAGGCCACTTCGCGAGTCCGCCAGGCCACCTCGTTGCAAGTCCGCCAAGCCTCTACTAAGTCTAAGCGCCAAGCCTCCTCACGTAGAGTTTGGTAGATCGCCTCGTCGCGACAAGCCTCCTCGTGCCAAGTTTGGTAAACCACCTCGTAGCATTGTCATCATGTTTGACAAATCGCCTCGTCGCGAGATCTGGAATAGCCATGGTAAAGGAAAGGGCAAGTAACAAAACGTCAGTTCCAAAAGGGAGAGCCGACAGTTTGATTGAGAAACTATCAATTACTCCACGTTCAATGACACTTTGGCCACGTCCGGGAAAGAAGGGAAGTGGTTCTTTTTGGAAGTTACTCTCCAGACAGTTTTCTACGACGGTTATCACCTCAAGCCTATAAATAGGAGGAAGAGTTGTCAGAGAAAGGCCCGCAAAAATCACCACTCGACACCACTTGTCAAGTTTTATCAATCTTATCTTTCCTCTGCAAATTTTTATCAGTAGTCGTAGATTTGGAGCTCTCTCAGAACCTCCATAGGAGTAGGAGTAACTTAATGTAGATCTGTCTCAAGAGTCGTGTAAACATCGAACACCCTCGTTCGAACTGTGTTTGAAGAGGTGTGAACCGTGTTTAGTGATCGTTGTCCAAAGAAGTCAAAGGTGCAATCAATTTATTTCAACGCAAGTTTTCTCGCCGGAGAACAAATTTGGCACACCTGGTGGGACACTTGTGGTCGATTCAATGGCTCCGAGGCGGAGGAGCAGGTGGCCAACATTGAGGATTTGTGGAGGAGCAGGTGGCCAACATTGAGCATGTCCAAGCGTCCGACGCGGTGACCGGAGGAAACGGTGGAGCAGAGATCTTGGTGGCAACCGCGCCTGGTGGAGATCTCGGCGAAGCAGTGGAGGCCCTTCGTCAGATGATGGAGGAGAACCGCAAGATGGTGGCTGACAACCATCAAGCCACAGAGGAGAACCATAAGATGGTGGCAGAGAACCTTCGAGCCACGGAGGAGAACCATCAAATGCTGATGGAGAACCGTCGCATGTTA